GGTCTAATGTATCTCTATCCAGTTTATGGCAGTTCATACTTAAGTCTGGACAAACGCATGTGCATATGTTGTATTCGAACTACCATTGGACACGGATGACGCCAATTCATGTATACCGAAGGAATTAGACGAGGACAATCTCATACCGCTTGTGTACGGTCAACTTAGTGCAGGGAAATGGCACGGGGGCAAGCCGGAAATAACATTACCAGGAGATGAACAAGGTGAGTTTATGACGAACTAATGTTGATTTCAGGTGTTGCGAATCAAAAGCAAAGTTGTTCGGTGCGAATTACGTCGGCTGATCAAGAGGGCGGTTGCCCAGGTGCAGCAGAAGGCACTATTGCACACGGGGGAGAAGCGCGATGCGTCCGCTCCCACTCGATTTGCTAATTCAGGCCAATAAGGCGGTGGCTGTGGTACGTTTGCTTGCGTGATGAGTATTATTGCATTTCAGGAGTTAGATGTTGATTGAGCTCCCCGGTGTGGCTGCGACTGATGTGAATGTTGACAAGGTGCCTACCTGTCTAATAGCCTCCACCTCGTATATAGTGGCTCCAGAAGACAGTTAGTTGTTGGTGGAGGGGAAGGAGTGCACCGTCCACGTGACTGTGGTAGGTTCGGAGAATGGTTTCATGCATCGTGTGTAGAACGGGATAAGGCCCAGCCACCGCCTTGTGAACATCTGGTAGGCAGGATTTCCCAATTAGGCCGGAATGCTTTTTTCTGTTTGTTGAAGGAGTGTGAGCCGGCACCGTTGATGAAACGTAGCTCCCATCCGCATGCCCCCGATCTTATTCCTTCGGGTTTACACCGGATATGGGGTGTGTGGGTGGAACTGTGGGTGGTGCAGCGCAAGCCATCCATGGTCCCTGTGGCTGGCCACAGTGACAGGCAAATCCGAAACCGGATGCCGCCAACCAAATATATATATATATATATATATATATATATATATATTTTAAGGTTTGCAAATGCTTTTATTCTCCCCTATTGGTCGTACAGTTCCCCTGCTATTTCCCCCGGACTCCTTCAAAAGGATTATGCTCTTCTTGTGCGCTCACTAGAATTTATTTCCTCATGTGTAGGATTAAGCAAAGAAGCCCTCGTTGACTTTACCGTCTGCAAGCATTTAGACGCATGCTTGAGCTTCTTATCCTACACCCCGTTCTAGCAAGTACGGCATCTATTTCTTCCATGCCGTCTAAATTTAGTTTTATTTTCCTGTAAAGCTTCGTTTTGAGACTCCATCTTGCTATATCTGTCTCTCTTGTTAGTCAGGCAAAAAACAATGATGCATCAGTTGCGAGACTGACAGCCTGATTAAAGACTGATAAAGTCATCAGCAATACGCCGGGACACTGTGCCGACGCTTCACTGCCACGCGAACACCACCGGTCGCGTGTGAACTGAGTATATCGCGAGGACGCCCGCCCCTACATGGATTCGAACCGGTGACCCAAGGATTGGAAGCCAGTCGTGCAATCGTTGCGACCAGATACCGAGGTGCGAAGCTTGATTGTAAATGAACTGTTTTGTTGTCCTTGGCACTGCGTTATTTTTCCACCGATTCTATATCGTAGCATATCTGCACAGCGTGCATAAAAGTTATGTTGACTTGACTTGAACGACTCATCAGGATTGAATCGGTGGTCGGAGGTCAACAAGCACGTTTTGATTGCCGAGGCAGCTCGGCTTCCCAATTTGACTGATTCCGTCGTTGTGCATCCCCTCCGGCTGTGTAACTACTTGGGGCTGTATTCACTGCTTCTGATACCTAGACTTCGATCAGTGCTACCAAGGTAGCTGTCTTCACAACTACAGGCAAATTTGTACAGCCAATGGAACATGCATCATCGTCGGTGTCTTAATCGCAAGCGCTTAGTCATCTATCATCCTATATGAAAGCGCTTATCTATCACTAATGCATGTCTATGATTGATAGGAGAGATAAAGGTTAACTGGTAGGGTTAAGTGGTACGCACTAATACATCTTAGCTTGCACCTCAAGACTAAGTAGTTAATACGCTGCAGAACGGGCTTTTGTTGACATGCACCAGGAAGCATTTTGGGAAATGATAACACAACCATCACGGGTTCGATAGGCGCAATGGTGGCCGGCCGGATGACAAGTAAACCCTTCGACAGACACAACTGCATCATCCACTTCTTCGTGAAGTCAGAGTTCTTGCAGTGAAATGATTCCTAGCCGCGAATATTCTCAAGGACTGATGGCATTCGTTAAATTGTAGAGAAGAATCGAAACTGTTTCTTGGCGCGCGTTCAAAGTTGAATCGTTGCTATAACGGCACTCTCTCCCGTTTGCCTTTCAGAGCGCCTTTCCTGCTCAATTACCGGAGGAGAACAAGAACACGACATCGGTTAACTGTAACTTCCTTTGTTCCAATTTACCTCATGTTTATTACCTTTTGTAGAGGCTACGTGTTGTGTAATAGAACTTCGTTCTCAACCCTTGGAGTTCTTCCCTGCTTGCGTGTTACAAAATCATCCATTTTCTACAGAAATGAACGGATGTTGGCGGCAAACAAAATGGGTAACTCATGCTCCCTAATATTTTCTTCAGAATAGCAATGCTTCACCTAGCGCCTCTCACCGAGGCTCCACTACGCTACTCCATGCCACTGCACCCCACTCAACTCCGCACTGGTGATGTCACCTCGATTGGTGACGAAACGTTTGCAACAAAATTGCCAAGCTCAGCGAACATTTCAACCGCCCTGGTAACGTTGGTTTCCTGTTAGCACCCTAGTGGCATGAACGTATGTTTTTGAGTGCAAGTGCAAAAATAATGAATTTATCTCGGAACCTGACGAATAAGTTGTAAGGAGGTTTTTTTCAAGACAATTGTAGTGCGTCAGCAATGTATCCGAGGTCGACAATCGCTCGATGGGTTCGTAGGCACTCTATCGTTGTTACGTGCAACTTTAAACATGGTCCGATAGTCAGTAAACTGCTTACTGGGGTGCACAGGTGGTAAGTTTGCGGTAGAAAAAAGCATCATAGCGCCCACGGAAGGACCAAGTGATCAATTCCTATTGACAGTGGCATTTGCTACGGGGTGGGGTACGTTCGCAGAATCGGTTTAACGCCTAAACGTAGAAGCAAGTGGACATGCTTGAGTGCGCTGTGGTTAAATCAAATGGAGTGGTTTATAAAGGTGGCTGTGGACAACTTCAGCGTTGGAACACACAAAATCCAAAGCTGTCGAACGAAATTTCCCAGGTAGAAATGTTGGCCACTAGTAGGTTGGGTGTGAAATTCGAGGTTTCTCGTCCGGTCTCATCAGCCGTAAGCGACGAATAAGAGCTCATGAAGCAATCAGAAAAGGGTGTATTCGAGGATACAGACGGCAGTGCGGATCTGTCAAGTCCACGTAGAAACATGTGTTTCATACAAAGGGCTAAAAGATATTGGTCTGGATTGATGGGCATATCCGAGGTAGCAGGAATCTCGACGCTCGCATGAGAGTATATATGAGATTTTTAACAGCTTTTAGCCGCCTTTCGCGGGAAAGACTGGATTCAATTTAGGTTTTGTATTCTCAGTCAGCCGCCTACAAACATCTAGTAGCAGGAGTAAATAAATAGCAGCGACAGGGACCCACAAAGACAAAGAAGTGGAACCTGCGAAGACCAGTGTAATCGCCTCTAGTGACAGAACCTACGTTTTACTGAGGCAAGGCTGGCCACGAGGTCAGAATGTTGGACTTCAGCCACTGAATGCCGGAAGCCTCAGCAAACTGGAGCAAGGATGGAGGGTTTTGTCTAATGATAATAATAACGATAATAGAACAAAACGCACGGTGAAGTCAAAGTGCCGAGCAATCGAACTGGCAGGTGACTAAAGCCTGCTCATCGCCAAGTCTCAGGAAGGATTCTCAATAATTCCGGTCGATAGGCTCTCAGTCCAGCCAATCCACATGTTACCGTAGGTACAGCTAAACTGGCAAAGGTAACTTGAAAAATAGGTCTAAGTTGGGTTCATGGGAAAACTTCCTGGTTCAGTGCGGAGGTATTAGTTCAGCTGCGCAGTAACATCTACCTATGGATTACCGCAGTCGGCGGTAAAACCTTTCGTCATTTTGCTCCCCACGAAATGCAGTGTAATACACGCTTTTTTCTCAAGAACATCGGATCATTTTTCATGCCTCCCCATATCTGGCGTTGGATTTATCGAGGTACTCATCATCACATAGTGCAAATACACTGCGTTGTAATTCAATCGTGAATGAATATGCCGTTCAGATTCGACGAAGTCTTGCGAAACTGGTGATAGATTAGGATCGCATATAGTTTATGGGACAGTAACGTCTGAAATGCGAATACTGCTCCGTCCAGCTCGGTTTATAGTAGATCTATTGTAGGAGCGGAAGCAACTGATTTTTTCTTCAAAGTGACACCAAAGAAATGTGTTCCCTGACTAGCTTTCCATAGTGAACTTGATCTCATGGTATCATTGGTTTAACGTTTCTAACATGCTCTCCGCTCTGCTCTGAGGGTCATCGATAAGCACGAAAGTACTATCAATGTACCGGGTGTAGCAGTAAGTCTCCTCTATGGTAGGAGTGCCAGATAGTCTCACACAAGGATCAGAAGTGGCTTGAAAAAAACGTATAAGCTGCGCGTTAGAACTTAGTCTCATTACTGCGTAACTATATGCTGTTGCATGGGGATCTGGATGCTGCAAGCTCGATCGCAACCGATGAACCCCGGAGTACAATGCAAATACGTGAACCACTCTGAAAGTGATGGGGCGGTTCCTACATCAAACAAGATGTGTTAATCACCATTGTAACAGTAATGAAAAGTTCCAACGGATGTGCGGTAGGTGCAAAGGCACGCAACCGCAGATCGTCCATATTTCACACGCATCAAATGCCTCACAAACTACTTTGGAATTCACACTTTGGCTTAACCAAAAGTAAAACGTACGCTGTGTGCTAAATGAAGACAGAAGCAGCAAAGTGAAGTAGAACATACCGATTAGGAAGTTGGTTCCACACATAATGGCTCCAGGGAAACTCAAAGCGGCCAGCGAGGATTCCAGTTCAGCGTCGCCGTTCAAAAGATAGTTGCGGGAAAACTGGTTCTCGACAATCATAGCGTACATATAGAGGCCGTAAGAGAAGCAGACTCCTTCAACGACAAACAAGCATATGAAGCTACCAAAGACTACTAGCCAGTGCCAGAATCCAGTGAACCAGGTAGGCTCCAGAGGCGCTGAGCAAGACAGGGGGAATTGAATGTGGGGAAAAAGTGTGGTGAAAATAGGGAGAGTCAAAACAACAGCGTTTAGAGTTTCTTAAACCGAAGGACTTTTCATGATTCCGCGCTAAGTGTCTGAAGAAGTGATGTTATTGAATGCTCAAGGTGCGAAGATAGCCTAACGGTTAGAGTGTAAAAGCGAGCACGGTGAATCCAGAGGTAAACAAAAAGTAATAGTGAAATTAACAAGGATGGCGGATGTGCGAAGACGAAATGTCCAAACGGTTGGCTCCTCACTCGAGATAAAATGAATAACCAAAGGACAAAATAAGTCGGCCAGAAATTATCCAGCAGTTTTGATGATATAACTCGTGTCTAGCTGTCCAAGTAAACAACGGACGACAAACAGGATGTAACCGCTTGGGCATGTGTAATGCGTAAACTCTCTGGCACGTTGGCCAGAAGTAAACGGACAAGTGTCAAGCGGATCTGCAACCAAGCCGGTCTCCCGGTATGATCAATGTGGAATGGGTGGCACCTTCTAAAGGAAATATTCTGAGATTAGCATGGACGCAAACCTGCTCTGAACCTTGGTGATGATTTGCTAGAAGCTGTTCAGAAATTCCAGTATCCGGACAGCTATATCAGCGCCAGTGGAACGCAAGATGAGGTCATGAACTGTATAGCAAAAGCTCAAGGCGCTTTTGCCCATCTCCGCCACCTGTGGCACCGGCACGGCATTACTCCCGCGCAGAAATGCAGAGTTTACAATGCAGCCATCCGTTCAACCCTCCTGTACGGTTGCGAAACCTAGCCGTTCAAATCGACAGACATAGATACATGTTACGTTCGACAATCGCTGCCTTCGCAGCATAGCTCATGTCTGGTGGGAGCACCTTGTGAGGAATAGACGTGTTCGGCGTCGTGTATTTGGTGCAGAAAGAACGAGTGGACCGCTCAGCACCATTATATCAAGCACCAGACTCCGATGGCCAGGCCACGAGTTGCGCATGCCGGCACGCGGACTCCCTCATCGTGCGTTGTTTGCACGACGCGTGTGAATGGATGAATCGACCAAAGGATTACTTGGTTAAGAGGAATGAGGTCCCTTGCTTCGAAGTTGGCATAGGATAGTGTGTCCCGATTGCCAGGCTGAGGACCGCAGGAGGATGAATATGTCTGGTTGGATACACTTTTTGACATGGCAAAAAGCTGACCGCAACGGCGTTTGTGTTGTGAAATTCTTTGTCTCTCCTCATCCCGCTTATCTTCCCCACCAACCACAAACTCTGTCTTGAAGCATACTATGTTAGTAAGCTGAAGGGTACCTGTGGTTTTCGTGTTCTATATTGTTTAGTATCTCGCTTTTTCAAATATATTATATTGTTTTATTGCGGCACAACAGTTGAAGTTTGCTTCTCACCTCCTACTAAAGTGGAATGATAATGAGTTGTTGTAGTGTTGTTTTAATGCCTACACCAGTTTGTGCACTCGGTCCAACGGAGACAGAGCGCCACCTAGTTACCATTCCTTTTGATCAACGGACAGCGCAGCACAGGGTGCATCTATGTACAAACTCATTAACGTGTATTATGTTGAGGTTAGGTACACTAACGTTCATTCCGAAGCCATGCAAGTAGAACACCATCTCAAAGCAGAGCGAAGAAATTTCTTTTCGATCTTTCTCATCAGGCTAATACATATAGAAAACTGGTTGCCATCTCCATGGACATATTTCATGAATTGTAAAGAAGATCATCTGTCAAGCGTGATGTAGTTAAGTCAAACTAAAGTGAACAGGGTCCAATAGTAACAAGGAAAGCTCTCAAAAGCCATAAGAAACTGTTCCAATGTGTTGGTATAAAGCACTACCATCTATAAACAACTGTTCGATTTCATGCAGCCACCGAAATTTGAGGTACCGATATGTGTGTACCGTCGTAATACTGGACTTCTGGTGTTGGGCGGTAACCAGAATCGCCTGGAATAATTCGTTAGAATATTCAGAGAAGAGCTATTCAACATTTGAACGTAGAGCGCAGTTTTGTCCGTTACGTTCAGTTACAAGTTATACGGATGATGGAACAGATTGACAAATGCGTTTCGGAGCACTCGCATATCCACACTCGGTACAAGCGAATTTTTATGACCTTTGTAATTACGATGGACAGATCCAACAAAATGCATACTGTGGAAATGTATGAGGCTAGTGAAAGTCCATGGGAGGGAGTAAGTGCAACAAGCCGAAACGCTTGGTGTAAATCCGAGTAATATTTTATCTACAGAGGTTGCTCATGATAATTGTTCAGGTCCGTTTCATTTCCACCTGGTGCCTGAAGAAGGTTGATCAGGTGCCTTCTAAATCAACCAATCAGAGCGCAGGACGACAGACCGAATGATGAGAGGGGATAACGGAGACGTGTAGCTACTGGTGGCAAGAAAACTGTGGGAAAGGCTGTACGCTCAGTCACACAGTCACGATCGTTTTCCCTCAATGAAATCTGTTGTCAAGATTTTCGTCCGTCGATTTTGTGAGCGGAATGGTCAAAATTCGCGATAGCGAACCAGAAAATGGTCACACTTGCAGTATTTGTACTATGAATGATATTCGCTTTTGTACGTTCAACTAATTCGCCTTAAATGAATTTGACTTCTAATCACCGTCTCCATCCCTGTGAGCTGAACGTTATGAGACATTCTACTCTCGTTTGCCTGCACTGCACTCCTGTCAGCTCTTTTTGTGTTGTGGCCATGCATCTAACTCATCATTTCACATACCTCGTAAGTGTTTATTCATGACGCCTAAAATCCGAGTTGTAATCTACTATTGTTGACGTTGACCGCTCTCACGATGCTGGGTAATTAATTTCGATGAGCTCGTTCCACTTTTTCTGAAAATTGCTCTTTCGCAAACACTGCTAGATGATATGTTGGAATATGCCTGGAATCATTCGAGAAGCCATCATTTCAGAAAAACTTGTGTTTCGGTTCTAGCTCGAAAGCAATAACATCTCATAGAGAAAGTTGGCGAAACGCAGAAAAAATATCATTCAGGGGATGATAACAGGTGTGTCCAGTTGCCATTTGAAATGATCTGTTGAGAAGAAATTGGTCAAATGGTTGATAGAAAATTGTGTTGCTATTTAAAAATTTGGTGTTGGGAGTGGTGTTTATAGTTCATCAAAAGTCCAGATCCATCTGCCAACGAGGAGTGAGATGAAACACTCTTTAATACGTCTACAATGGACGATTCGATCCGCTGGGAACTTTAGCTAGAGCATTTATCCTGGATATCGGCCGGCGGCCGTAAGGATTGTGGGTTTGCGTTATAACCCTGAGGTCACCAGTTCGAATCCGCCTCGGTGCGGTGCACCCAGCCCTCGCATGACTTGTGGTGGTCGCGTGACGGCAAAGCGTCGGTACGATGTGTTGACGTACTGCTGATGCCTTTTTACCTTTTCATGGATAGCTCAATGAAGTCGCATAAGTGACCAACATAATAGCGGACTGTATTTGCATGCAGGAGAATCATGTAACCTACTGCTTAATGTCTGTTTCACGTTGTCCTGAGTTCAGTTACCTGAACTTACTATAGTACGTGCGGAACCAGTCGCAGTATGATGTTATGCGACTCAGCTGTCCTCCCTCAATCGTTTTACTATCAAATGTGCACACATCCCCACATATGATTAAGGCTCCTTGTAAATAAACCTAGGTCTTTGTGTGGTATTCACTAGAGGTTCGTTAATGTCAGTGCCATTCGCCATCACTGACCTATACAATCTCACTTAGGCCTACTGGTCGACTCAAAGGGTCAGAGGCTAGTCGGCCCAGTAAGGATGTGCAGAAATTACTGCAACAACGCCAGCATATTAGCCATCTCTCGCGGCAATACCTTTCTCTTGATCACCCATGACTTTGACTTCGCACCCTCCGCTTCGCACCGCATCAGGAATAACTGCTCTCTCGTCGAGATTCACCTGAGAAACTTAAACTAGTTAGGGCGGGGTTTGAGCACATGCTCGACGTTGGGACAATCCGCTCTTTCGACAGCTCTCCATTTTATACGGTTTCAGAGAAATCCGTTGGACAGGCATCTTTGCGGTGACTCATGCGAACTCACTAAACTGTCGGACCCCGACGAATGTCCCATGCCGCACAGGAGATGCACTTACCTAAAGCCAGAAGAAACTTAGAACTGACTGGGAATTCATATTTTAAGAAGGTACAAAATATAAATCGATTTCACATAGGCTTGCATTGCAACTATATTTCGCTCTAGACGTATGTTAACTACAACAAAGCTCTCAGTGATCATCCTGAATCGTAATCTTGTCACTGCTAGCGACTAATACCATGGAAATTGCGGTAGAAGACACTAACCAACAACGACCTGACGGGCAGCGGTAACCAGACAATCGCAACCATCGGAAGCCCCCTACACCAGTTGGGCCGACAACTACTTGACATTTACTTCGCAAACGAGCACTTCCAACGCACACTTAAAAGCCTTCTAGGGGGTACAATCCAAGCAGCGTTCCTTATATCTACCCACAAATATTCACTTCAGGTGACGAAAATCTCCTCGCCAAGCGTTTCGCAAGCGTAGACCTAAAATTGTATGCTACGCCTACAGTGGACAAAAACAGTCACGTAACTGGGCTCGTGTTCACCTTAAGTGATAAGGCAAAAATACATTAATACATCCGCAGTCCAATCGGTTCAAATTCTGCCCGATTGAACACCGGAGCTCCGTAAGCATAATCGCCAGACTGCAACCAAGAGGGACAACAAATCCACAGATCGAAAAAGATTACGCAGCCCACAATGACAGCAGTGCAATGATAATAGAAATAGATGCGTCGTTGTCATAAAAGAGAGTAAAAATAAGAGGTGAGGAAGAACCTAGTGTGAATCTTAGGCACGGCAAACAGACAGATCTAAATTAACTGCACGCTGTTAACGCACTGTCACAAACAACCGACTACCATGCTAAAATGTGGCATCAGCGAGGC